CACTGAGCTGCTTATTTTATATTATCCCATTTAATCTCACCTGCAGGATAAATATTATGATTTCCATTTTATTGTGATGAAACCGAGGTACAGAGAGGTCAGGTCAGGCTCCCAGGGCCATAAAGTTAGGAGGTGGCGAAGCCGGATTGGCACCAGCTTCGCGCCTGCCAAGCACATGTTCCAGACCCCTCGCCCCATTTCCCCAAAGTCCTCCTGCATTCTAGGTTGTTGTAGGTCCTACTTTGTGGAATGATATAGTTTCATTATTTTTTGCTCTTCTGTTTCCAGAAATTAAGCACATTTCATATGACTCATTCCTGGGTGGTGAATATAGTAGTAGATTCTCATATTTTACTATACATATTAAAAGTCTATAAAACAAGGGCTTATAATGGTTATGTTTGCCTGGAAATTTGCTGATATAGCTATATGAGCTATATATAAATCAGCCTATTGCCAGAGAGGTGTGCTTTTAAAGCAAACAATCACTGACTTATCCACTCCACCCTGCCATGTTCATTTAAAATTTTTTTTCTTTTTAGATTTTATTTATTTATTTGAGAGAGAGAGACAGAGACAGAGATAGTGAGAGAGAGCACAAGTGGGGAGGAGAGGGAGAAGCAGGCTTCCCGCAGAGCAAGGAGCCCAACGTGGGGCTCGATCCCAGGACCCTGGGATCATGACCCGAGCCGAAGGCAGACACTTAACTGACTGAGCCACCCAGGTGCCCTGCCATGTTCATTTAAGTGAAAGTTTTGTTTTGTTTTGTTTTAAAACACCAGAATTTTGGTGTTTTGCGGCAGTGTGCTTTCAGCAGTAATGAAAGTCTCTCCTGACTGTCATAACCCCAGCCCAAATGCATTTTGTTTTGAATTCTTAATCCCTTAAAAATAAAGTTATAAATTTAAGGTTAGTGTTCCCGATTCTGCTTGGTGCTGTGATACAGAACTACGAGGGAGTTTGACCTAGGATAGGAGAGAGCTGGGCCACATAGCTCCTCTGTGTCTTGGTCTACCTTGTAACTCACCAGTTCCCTTGGACTTTTACATGTTTCTGCCTCCCATCCTAAGTTCCGGACCCTGAACAGTTCTGTATCAGACTCAACACAATGCCAAATGCATAGGAACTACTTAATAAGCATTGTGAATGGGTTTTAGTAGAATTGCATTTATTTATTTTTTAAAGGTTTATTTATTAGAGAGCACGAGTGTGGGGGTGGAAGGGGCAGAGGGAGAGAGAGAACCTCAAGCCGACTCCGCACTGAGCACGGAGCCGGATGCAGGACTTGATCCCACAACTCTGAGATCATGACCTGAGCCGAAATCCACAGTCGGATGCTTAATCAAATGAGCCAACTAGGTGGCCCCTGAATGGCTTTTAGAATTTTAAATTGTTCAACTAAGTTAATGAGAGATTCACTAATCTGTGTAAAGACAACACTTTTTTTTTTTCTTGAGAAGTAGTTTTTTATTGTCTGGAATTCATTTTAGTCATTTAGCATTTTATTTTAAAGGCATTTGTATGGCCACTAACTCTTCTTCAGCTAAACTTATTTTGAGATAACTGTAGATTCACATGTGGTTGCGAGAAATAATGGAGATTTCCCAGGTACTCCATTTTCCCCACTGGTAACATCTTGTAAAGCCACACCTTGATACAGTCAAGGTCCACAACAGTTCCATCACTACAAGGGTCCTTCTTCTTGCCCTTTACAACCACACCTCCTCCCTCCCTCCCACCTCACCCCTCCTTAACCCGTGGCAACCACTAACTGTTCTGTGTTTTTATAATATTGTCATTTCAAGAATGTTCTGCAAATGGCATCATAGAGCATGTCTTTAGAGATTGGCTGATTTCATTCAGCGTAACTGTCTGGAGATGCATCCAGGCAGTTGCGTGACTCAGCAGTTCATTCCTTTTTATTGCCGAGCAGTTTCCAGGGTATAAGTATAGCACGCAGTTCATTTAACTCTTTACCTGCTGAAGGGCATCTGGGTTGTTTTCAGTTTGGGGCTGCTCTGAATACAGCTTCTGTAACCATTCATGCACAGGCTCCGTGTGAATGTGACTTTTCATTCCTCTGGGATAAGTGTCCAGGAGTAGAGTTGCTAGGTCAGATGCTGGTTGCATGTTAGTTTTTAAAGAAACTGCCAAACTATTTTCCACAGGCGCTGTATTGTCTTACACTCCTACCAGCTGTGTAAAAGTAATCAAGTTTCTCTGCATCCTCACCAGCATGTGGTGTTGGCACTATTTTTTTTTTTTTTTAAGCCATCCTGGTAGCGATCTCATTGTGGCTTTAATTTGAATTGCCCTGATAAGTAAGGATTTTGAACATCTTTTCATGTGTTCATTGGCCATTGTGTATCCTCTTTGATGGATTATCTGTGTGTCTTTTGCTCATGTCTAATTGGAGTGTTTGCTTTTTGCTGTTGAGTTTTGGGAGTTTATGTATTTTAGATACTAGTCCTTTGTCAGATACATGGTTTGAAAATATGTACTCTCAGTCTCTAATTTATCTTTCAGCCTCTCAACAGGGTCATTTGCACAACAAAAGCTTTTAGTTGTGATAGAGTCTACTTTATAAGTTTTTTCTTTAACAAATCATGCTTTTTGGTAACAGTGTGAGAACTCTTTGCTTGGCCTTAAATTCCAAAGATTTTCTCCCAGGTTTTTTCCTAAAAGTTTTATAGTTTTACAGTTTATATTTAGGTCAATGATCCATTTTGAATTAATTTTTGCATAAGATAGGAGACTTAGGTCAAGATTCCTTTTTTCTCCTGTGGCCATTTGTTCCAGTGCCACACATTGAAAGATTCTATTTCCTTCATTGAACTGCTTTTACACCTTTGTCAAAAATCAGTTGGGGCGCCTGGGTGGCTCAGTTGGTTAAGCGACTGCCTTCGGCTCAGGTCATGATCCTGGAGTCCCGGGATCGAGTCCCGCATCGGGCTCCCTGCTCAGCGGGGAGTCTGCTTCTCCCTCTGACCCTCTTCCCTCTCGTGCTCTCTGTCTCTCATTCTCTCTCTCTCAAATAAAAAAAAAAAAAAAAAAAAAAAAATCAGTTGGGCAGGGGCGCCTGGGTGGCTTAGTCGGTTAAGCAGCTGACTTCGGCTCAGGTCATGATCTTGGGGTCCTGAAATCGAGCCCCATGTTGGGCTCCCGGCTCAGGGGGGTTGTCTGTCCCTCTCCTTCTCCCTCTGCCCCACACTCTGCTCATGCTCTCTGTCTCTCTTTCAAATAAATAAAAATCTTTAACAAAAATCAGTTGGGTATATTCGTGAGGGTCTTTTTCTGGATTCTTCATTCTGTTCCATTGGTGTATGTATGTCTGTCCTGCCAGTACCACACGGTCTTGATTACTGTAACTATATAATAAGTCCTGACATTGGATAGACTGATTCCTCCCTCTTTATTCTTTTCTAAAAAAATGTTTTAGCTATTCTAGTTCCTTTGCCTTCCCATATAAATTTTAGGATAATCTTGTCTATATTTCCAAAAAATTTGGGATTTTATAGGAATTTTTTTAAACTTGTACATCAGTTTGGGGAGAATTGGCATCTTTACAATATGTGAATCTTGCTGTTGAGGAACATGTTATGTCTCTCCATTTATTTAGGTCTGCTTTGATTTCTTTCATCCACATTATGTAATTTTCAGTACACAAGTTCTATACATATTTTGTTATATTTACACCTAGGTATTTCTCTCTTTTGTTTACATATACAATTGTAAATGACACTTTAATTTCAGTGTCCATGTGTTGACAGTATGTAGAAATATAATTGATTTTTATATGTTTATCTTGTATCCTGCAACCTTGATGAACTCTTATTAGTTTATGAATTTTACCTTTCATTTCTACTCCTGCTTATTTAACAGTTTCTGTGTGCCAGGCATCACATTAAGGCTTTCCATATGCTTGCCAAAGCCTAGTAGCTAGTGGAGCTAGAATCTTGACAGGTAGATTATTTCTTCACTTCATTTGTTCGTTTGATAAATGTCTAAGGAGAACCTATGTGGGCCACGGTGGATCCAGACACAGGGCTCCTGCCCTCCTGGAGCCTACAGTCTGAACCTGATGTTAGAAGTAACACAAATGGTTGTAAACTTAATAAAACAAGTTAATTATAATTAACAGCATTCAACTCATACTGTAAGTGGCTAAAGCAGTGACACCTTAACCAGCCTCATGGAGTGGGAGCATCCAGGGAGGGCCTCCTAAATGATGTCCATTTCCTAGGAAAGGTTTTCCAAGAAGCCAGACTACTCATTGCTTCTTTCAACTTACATCAATTTTTGAAATTCAGAGAGGTCTGTGATAAAAGCTCATGTGAAGAGAATTCCTGGCCAAAACTGAATGAAGTTCTCAGTTGCCTCTTTCTCCTTACTGCACCCCTCCGGCCCCCTTGCCAGTGGTTCCCACCGAGGGCACCAGGCCTCCTCGCCCTCCAGACCAGCCAGCTCGGTCCAGCTCTTCTTATTCAGCAGGCCCTCTGCCCGGCTTGGTGTTGTCCACCATGTCCTCCTTTGCGAACCTCCCGTCCCTTCACTCCCACATCACTCTGGAGGGTTTCTTTCCCCCTTTCGCAGGTGAGATGGGCGCAGAGTCCTTTGAGATGGAAAGGAGGTCCATTCAAGGAGATGCAGGGTCAGGGCCCCTTTCTGCCGGTCTGTCTGGGAAAATCATCAGTGTCCCTCAGCTTTGGTAATAGTAACTACATTAAGTTTCTGGTCAGTTGGGAAATAGATCTTACTATATAGAAATGTGCCTCTCCGACAGCCTTCCAGGTGAAGACCCCTCTACCTCTGAGAAGGGAAGGGATGGACCGTCACTGGGCACCGTGTATGTTCCTGCACAATGCTTGGCACCTCGGGGCTGCTGCTGGCCCGAGCCAGTTCTGTCCCCACTCCCATGTCTTTCCACCCTCAGGAAGTCCCGGTCCTGCCTTAGGACTGAGGATGCTTCCTTCTCTTCCCGTTTTCCCCACTGACTGTAGGAGAAATCGCTTGTCTTTGAGTCAGCGTGGAAGAAGGAGAAGGACATAGTTTCCAAGGAGATCGAGAAGTTACGTGTGTCCATCCAGACCCTGTGCAAGAGCGCGCTCCCCCTGGGGAAGATCATGGACTACATCCAGGAGGACGTGGACGCCATGCAGAACGAGCTGCAGCTGTGGCACAGCGAGAACAAGCAGCACGCTGAGGCCCTGCAGAAGGAGCAGAGGTGGGCGGGGCCGGGGTGGGGTCTCTGCAGCAAGTGCAGAGGGGGGCGGGGCCAGGGCGGAGGGCGGGGCCAGGGCAGGGGCTTTGCAGAAGGAGCAGAGGGGGCGGGGCCGGGGCGGGGCCAGGGCGGGGGGGTGCTCTGCGGAAGGAGGAGAGGTGGAGAGGTGGGGGGGCGGGGGCGGGGGGGGTGCTCTGCAGAAGGAGCAGAGGTGGGCGTGGGCGCAGGGAGCCCATGGGGGCCACCTCCCCAAAGGAATTGTTTTCCTTCCTCAGTCGTCAGCACAGAGCACGTCTTTGCATTAGTTAGGAAAGATTTGGAGTTAACGTTCACGCAGGTAGATACAGAGAGTAAACAATACAGGGAACTTTGTTTTATGTGTCTTATCAAAATCCCCAAAGTTTGGTAACTGTACTTGAAAGTATTTTAATTTTTTACTCTGAAAAGAAATAAATGCTGATGAGCCCATTTTGATATTGCTACTGTAAAGGAAATATAATAACCACTAAAAAGAGATTTACTTTAGGGAAATGATTGATGTTCTTTGTTTATAATCAGGGAATCTGGAATGCATGAAACTATCAGTTGTTAAGGGTTTGTCCGAAAACGACCTGAGCGGACATGGTGCTCGGTCTGTAAGCCCAACGGGAGAACGCTGTGTGATAATGAAGCTGCTATCTCATTAGCCTGCTTACTCCCAAAACGTCCCTTAAAAGTGTAAGTGTCCAGCAGAAGAGGAGTTAGGAAATCGCCAAGAACTTTCTGGGGCCGAGCCCAGCAGGGTGATTTGTTGGCACTTCCTACAGTTGATTTAAGGTACTGAAAAGTAGCGCCCAGATGTTTCTTCCTTACAGAACCTGAGTTTGCTTTGTGGCAGGGTGGTTGGAAACTGTCACTCTTCTTCGTTTTTTTTTGTTTGTTTTGTTTTTTATATAAAGTATTTTTAAAACATTTTATTTATTAGAGTGCCCATGAGCAGGGCGAGCGGCAGGCAGAGGCAGAGGGAGAAGCAGACTCCCCGCTGAGCAGGGAGCCCAATGTGGGGCTCCAACCCAGGACCTTGGGATCATGACCTGAGCCGAAGGCAGACGCTTTACCGACTGAGCCACCCAGGCGCCCCATCACTCTTTTTATTTATTTTGTCTTTATACGCTTAAAAAAACTAAAGAAAAGGCCAGTTTGACCTCTGCTTTCCCAAATACGTTCTAGATTTTTCCTGGCAGGTAACCCAGCACTGAAAGGCCTCACGCCTCGAACTCGTGAGTTGGAGGAGCCTGGGTGGAGCACCCTGGTAGCTGGAGGAGCCTCCCTGAGGAAGGTGGGGGGGCGTGTCGGGCTGCCGGGCCGTGGCCTTTGTGGGTGGCCGCGCTGCTTGCCTCCCTGCCGTCCGAGGGCTCTGCAACATGTGATATGGGGCTTTAGGAATAGTAGGCTCCTTTGTGTAATTGCATGTTTGGCTTCACTTTTGGCTGTGGGGCGGTAAAATAATGTTTTTCCCAGGTGTGAGGTCCTCGTCCCTTTATATCATTATCCGAGTATGTTTATATTTTTACCCTTTTTCTTTGGATGCTGCGAATAACTTACTTTTGTCTTCTTTATTTGTTTCAATCAAGAAGCAAATCTAGAGGCGCCTGGGTGGCTCAGTCAGTTGAGCGTCTGCCTTCGGCTCGGGTCATGATCCCAGGGTCCTGGGATCGAGCCCTGCATCGGGCTCCCTGCTCCGCGGGAAGCCTGCTTCTCCCTCTCCCACTCCCCTGCTTGTGTTCCCTCTTTCGCTGTGTCTCTCTCTGTCAAGTAAATAAATAAAATCTTAAAAAAAAAAAAAAGCAGCAGCAGCAGCAAATCTAAGCCGAGACTGGTACTCACAGCCCCTGTGTTGTGTCCTGCCAGCATCACGGACTGTGCGGTGGAGCCCCTGAAGGCCGAGCTGGCTGAGCTGGAGCAGCTGATCAAGGACCAGCAGGACAGGATCTGTGCCGTCAAGGCCAACATCCTGAAGAACGAGGAGAAGATTCAGAAAATGGTGTACAGTATCAGCCTGAGTTCGAGAAGGTGAAAGCTCACACGTTTCCAAAGCCGGAAGTCCTCCTCAGTCTGAAAGTAAAAAAGAAGATAGAACGTCACCATTCTCTAAGTTCAGTTTCCTAAGAAAATGAAGTTTTCCATGTCCTCCGTCTGAAGTGCAGAGCTTTGGAAGCGCAGGCACATCTGTGTGTAGAGGGGCCGTGTTCTCTCCCCTTCCTCCAGCGGAAGTATTGCCTGCTGTGCAGCTGTGTTCTCTGCGTCTCTGCGCGGCCTGTCCTGCTCAAGTCTGTGCCAGAATTCGCTAGCAGGTGCGTGCGGTGGCACGCAAGGAATGCGACATCCTTGGTTTCAGGTTTTAGGTCTGGTGACGGGACCCTGAGGGGAGCAGAGTGAAGGATGGCTGCCTTCTGATGGGCACTTACAAACAGAATGGGGCCTGAACATGAGTCTGCTCTATTTTGAGTTCATTTCCCCTCTGAAAGGGTTCATTTCAGTCTGTATCTTTATAAGGTACGCCTGAGGTTTTTTTAAAGCTCTTTGCAACTGCGTATACCTCTTTGTCATTTTCTCATTGGTCCCTGCGGCCTCTTGCTTGTGTTTGCAGCCTTAAAGATCATAAATTGAAGGAGATTTCAGTATGTCCTTCACGGACATTCGGCCCCAGGGCTTTCCCCGTGTGGGTAGCAGTGAGCTGCTCCAGGCCTGCACTCGCCTTCCCCCAGTGGCCTTGGTGTCTTTCCTACTCCTTCCCGTAGATGTGCATTCCCGAGAGGCCAGTAGCTTGGGGCAAACAGCTGAAGGAAGACTTTGGGGGACGCACCAATTTGCAACATTTTTTTTATGTTACTATTTTTTTGGAAATTGTTTTTTACAGCAAGGTTTTTTTTAGAACATGGTTTATGTTAAGTTTTTCACTCACATATGATATTGTAAATACTTAATGAAAGTCTTAAGTTTGTATAGAAAGGAATCCAGTGTTTGGAGACATACAGGTCATAAGGTCTGGGTCCTGATGCTGGTATTTCTAGATATTTATGGTGTGAACCACGCAGTGCCATTTAAATGTTAGAATTGCCTGAGAAAGTTCTGCTTCTTTAAGGCTTAGCACAAATGCACAGGTTAGGTTTCCTTACTGTAATTTCCAAAAGAAATCCTTTTCTAAGGTGGTTATATGATTTCTCCAAGCTGAATAAGTTCAGGATCAGATTATGAAGCTCTGCCATTTTGGACACATTGGCCACTTTGTCATTTCTACCACTCAGCATAAAATTTTTGATCAGATTGTACTAAACGCATTATTGGAGGTGGGAGGGGTGGCCATTAACTAGCCCTCCATGTGCTCGTCTCTTTTCTTCTGAGTTGAACGACTTAGCCACAACCCAATGGATTGTTTTTGCTTCAAGATGTGTTTGCTTTTTATGATTTTGTACATACGAATAGGATTTTTGTGTTGCAAAAAAAAAAATTGCATACATTTTATGTGAATAAAATTTTGTACGAAGTAGTTTATCAAATCGTATCATAAAATTTATTTTATACATAAATCATTAAAAAAATCACATATTTTTTCTATAAGTGGGTTGTGCAGTTCAGTTCACAGCTGGAGAAAACATAAGCATTTGGATTTTTGTATTTTCAGATGTGTATATTTTGTTTTCCTTGTGAAGAAAGTTCAGGGAAATTTATCTTTTCATTCATATCGTGACATTTATCCATCTTCTGTATAAAGTGAAGTTTTATAAGACAGATAAGCACTTGTCAGAAACCTCGAGATCATTCATGAGGTTTTAGGCAGTCTCTCTGATTATTACGGTATCTTTATCAGAGACATGATGGGTCCTGATGTTTTGTATTACTTTGAGAAAATACACAACGGGGTTATTAAACCTTTACCTCTACTTTGGCTTGGACATTTCCAGGAAGTACTGAAGTCTCCCTGCAGGAATTTTAATTTAAAAGTTGAGCTGACATTAATTTATATTCAAAGAAAATGTGTAAACCTTTGGGGGAAAAAAAAATTCAGGACTAAAATGTGAGCTTTCTGCTTTGATATTCATGCTTATTTTTCTTTTCAGTAAGCAACTTAAACAATGTTCATGACCAATCTGTGATGAGAAATGATATCAGTAAGTGACACGGAGTGCGGTTAGGATGTTGGGTGGTCCGGAGTCCCATCCTGCCTCCCGACAGGCGCCCCCAAAGCATGCTTGTGCTTCTTGGCTGAGCTGCGCCGAGCTGACTCCATCTGTCTGCTGTTGGTGCGTGGGGTCAGGGTGCGTGAGCGGGAGCAAGGGCAGCAGGGCCTGGACCAGCCTGTGAGCGAACACATGGATGTTCGTGGTCACAGGGATGACCGGTTGCTGGAGCTGCCACGAGAATTGGTTTCAAAGGAGGCCATGCACAACAAGACCATGCCCACCGCGAGGGAGGATATTCCACACAGACTCTGTGCCCAGCTCCAGAATCTTCCACGCACACCCAGCGATGCCTCCCGAGGAGCCAACCACAGCCTCGTGGGCAGGCTTCCGTGCGGTCCGCCATAGCAGAGGGTGGGAGTGAGATGGGCGGTCGTGTGAGCCGCTGAGGCGGGGCAGGGGGCAGCGCCCCTGTCAGGACCAGAGCGGAGCTGTGTCCTGCTCTTGGGCTCTGAGTTGAACTGTCCCATGATGCACTTTATTAATAAATGTTTTCTATTTTCCCAAAAGGTGTTCTGATAGGTATAGTTTTACCAGCCTTCTAGTAGGGCAGAAGTGAGGCCCATACACGAATCCCTGTTTTGCTTGTTTCGGGTGTTTTCGTAAAGGAAGATTGGGAAGGACTTTTTTTTTTCCCTGGCTAGTAAAAAGAAATTTAAATGGTTCTTAAACTGTAACTTTTTAAAGTCCATATTTAGAGCTGAGTTCCAGATTGATGATCAGCTTCTTAAACCAAGCAAGTGGGTCTTCCTGGTGAGAAAATGGGGTTCAAACAGTGAAGTCCATAAGCCACAAGGAGGCCATGCACCGTTAGGCAGGGGGGGTTGGGGCTTTGTAAGCGGGCGTGGTCCCGACGTCCGCTGCTCCTCCAGGGCCCGAGCCACCAGCGCCGCCCGCCAGCCCATCGGGAGGCCACGGGACAGGGGGGCCTGCCACCGGACCTTCCCAGCGCCTGTGCTGGCCCCCGCGGTGCTCTCACATCTCCCGTGCAGGTCTCAGGACAAGCTTTGTGATGCTGCCGTCACCACGACCCCGCACTTAAATCCCAGAGCACTTAAGGTTCCCCATCGGAACCTCCATGAAAGCCAGTATTTTACTGGACGACACCAGCTGGTGTGTGCGGGCTCGCTTCCCGGTCGACGCTAGTGTGCGCACGTGCGGTGCTTACTGTCCCCGCCTAGGCTCCGGGGGCGCCGGCACTCCCCCAGGGGGTGGTCACCGTCCTGATCTGCTCAGACTTTCCTCGAGGCGAAATTTTAACAGCATCCCTCTGCCACGCCCAGCCGTGTCCTGGTTTGGACAGCAGACGACGTGGCCCTGTTCCTGTCGGAAACCTGCCGTTGGGGTCAGCCAGGGCGCTCGCGTGCCTGGTGCCCGCCGAGCGCCAGTGTGGGCAGCAGCTGGGTCCACCGGTGAAGTTAGTAAGCTGGATCGGGGGATGTGCTGTCGAGACCGTGGACATTCTGACGAGGCTTCTGCTTCCCTGTGGACGGACGTGGGGATGCGTTTGCATTCAGCACTGGTGGAAGGACCTTGGCGTAAAGGCTCCTGTCGCTGAACTGATGTTGCCCTGAAGGGGGTTCCTGGTGGGCCTGCTCTCGGACGTCTTTCCCGATGATTTGGAGGAAGCTGGGGAAAGTGGGTCTGTGTAATTCACAGCTGCGTGAACGAGTGGGCAGGCCCCGGACACTGAAAAATCGACTCAGGACATGGGAACATGAAACCGGGCCAGCCCTGACTGGATGAAAGAGAACAGGAAGAACCGTGAGGGCGGTTCCAGGCGGGTGCCCAAGCAGCGCTGCACTTGGGATGTGATGGGGGGGTGCGGAAAGCCCCCGGGGTTCTCTGATGAAGCCGGCGCTTCGATCTTGGAAGGCATTGGAGGATGTGAGGCCTGGCTGGCCCTGGGCCACCGCCTGCTGGTCCGGGTTCCCCCAGAGCCCAGCAGGGCACCCTGGTGACAGTGTTATATGTAAAAAATCTTTTTTTTTTCTTTAAAGAAACCATTTCTGGGGCGCCTGAGTGGCTCAGTCAATTAAGCATCTGCCTTTAGCTCAGGTCATGATCTCGGGTTCCCAGGGTCGAGCCCCACATGGGGCTCCCTGCTCAGTGGGGAGTCTGCTTCTCCCACTCCATCTGCTGCTCCCCCTGTTTGTGCTCACTCTCTCTGTCAAATAAATAAGTAAAATCTTAAAAAATATATGTATAAATTAATGAAACAGCATTAACTTCTGACTAGATACGTAAATCTGGGAATTTAGTGTCTGATAAATATGGTATTTCAAAGCAGGAGCATTTCAGATTGTTGTCCAAATAAATGGTATTGGAGCATATGGTCATCCACATGGCAAAAATAAAATATTCTTGCCTCATACCACATACAAAAATAAGTTTCCAAAAAATTAAAGAACTTTAAAAATAGAATACTAGAATGATCGAAGAACACTTTGTATTTATCATATTTGTAGATATATTTTTATTATTTATTGATATATTATCATACTAATACATTTATTATAGTTTTATTTTGTGAGCGGTAACAACATATAGGAACAAAGCACCTAGGAGAGAGCATAGTTAAGTGCTAAATATGTTTTGGGGTGAAGAAGAACTTCCTAAAAAAGACAATGTCCAGAGGCCATAGATGAAAAAAAAAATTAACCCTTGGCTCATAAAAGTTAAACGTTTCTAGCCAAGCAAACGTTAAAAATACAGATGGCCCATTGGGAGAAATATTTGCAACATCTCTAGCAGAGGTAATATTCATAGTAGACAGAGACTTTTAATAATAACAATACTTACGGCCCAGTTGGATGCTGGAAGAAAGATACAGTCA